ATAGATGGCTACAAATCTGCATTACTCAGCAGAGGCACTTTCCAGTTATTGATGTAAGAAATCAGAAGGCAAGGGCCCACAGCACTAATACTTCTAACCTATGATAGGCCTACTGATAAATCTTGGCTTCCTCTCATGGCCTCTCCCCTCTGTTGCATCTCCAGGAGAAAATTGGTTGCATATGTAATCTACTGCCTCTCAGCACCACTCTGCCTGCAAACCTAATTTAGTACAGTGGTAAAAACCTTATAATGCAAGCAAGCATCAATTTTTTGGCTTACATAATCTATTGGATCAATGTCTGAAACTAATTGCTCTCATGGAAAAACTGCTAGCCTTGCAAGACAACCCAAGCTACCATCTCACCACCTTTCACTTCCTAGAACCATTAATCACACTCAGATGATTTATAGGTTATTGGGATTTTCTGATTAATTTTCCACATCTCCAGATCTGTCTGCCTCAGGTAGATACAGAGGGCAATATGAAACCACTGAACAAGTATTAGGTGCCTGTTCCCAATCTGAATGTTGTCAAAGTGGGGCAGAGGGAGGAGATACTTATTCTAGTCTTGCTCCATAAAGTTTCTTCCCTATTAGCATTTCAATGGTTTTAATCAGCTCCCAACATTTTATCTATAACACAAGATAACAATGATTTGAGGATGTTTGTTACATCAAACGCCTTGGTACTCAAACAACTTGGAACCCAAATACTGCAAACCCAGAAGTAAGTATTCGGGTTTTTGGAAGTCGAACGTGCTCCGTTTTGAGTGTCACACTTCCATTTTGAGTGTTACGGTGAGGTCTATCTGTTTTTGCTATTTATTATGCGTTTTTGTTTTTGCCACTCTTTTTTGTTTTGTTTTTGTGACTGTGTGGAACCCAGTTCAGCTACTGATTGATTGATTGAGTGATTGAGTGATCGATTTTGCAGTACACTGTATATTGCTTTCATTTTATGGATCAATGGTCTCATTAGATAGTAAAATTCATGTTAAATTGCTCTTTTAGGGGTTGTTTTTAAAAGTCTGTAACGGATTAATCCATTTTGCATTACTTTCTATGGGAAAGCATGCCTTGGTTTTGGAACGCTTTGGTTTTGGAATGGACTTCCGGAATGGATTAAGTTTGAGAACCAAGGTACCACTGTAAGTCTCACCCTCATTAACAAACATTCAAACTGCAAATACCATCAAGCATTATATTTTGCCCTGTTAACATGGATTCAGAAGGAAAGCCAACCCCAAGTCACTGACCAGAAACACAGAACAAAACAGGACCAAGTCTTTCTTTCTTCTCTTAAAGCCTAAGATTTTCTGATGGAGACTGTTGGTCAGGTGCTATAACTGAGGTTAACTAGTAAGAAACAGCTAGCCAATGTGATGCCCTCCATATATTGTGGACCACAATTCCCATCATCCCTGACCAGGGCTGGGGCTGATATGAGTTGTAGTCCCAAACATCTGGGGGGCACCAGGTTGGCTAGCCCTTGTAGTTAGGCACTCATGGTAAAGCACTAATCAGAAAGCTGTACCTCCTGATCATGTACAGCATAATTTGAAGTCACTTATTCCAGGTTAATAATTAATGTTACTTTCAAATAGACCGAAAATTATGAACTACTAATACACAACCAAGTGTGGCCTTATGAACTCGCTCTCTGTATATCACAGAGACACACACAAGTGGTTCTATCATTAAAGTGTGGGGTACTCTGTTAAAACCACAAAAATTCAATTCAGGATGTGGAGAGTCTACTTGTCCTCTCCCTCTCCACATTCTCCACCTATCAACCTTTCTGTGCCATCCCACACTTGCCCACCCAAATTGAAGCATAACAAGAAAGAAGCAGCATAGCAAAAACATAACAAGAAATCTAGCAGGCAGCTAGATACTCACTGCTGTCTTCAAGTTTCAGTATTACTTTGAACATGCAGAGGAAGAGGACTGGGGCTGAAAGATTAAGCGACAGAATGGTTGCATGGCGCATCAGTTGTAAGCAAGCGCACTATGTACGTGCCTCAATTCTTTTAACCCAATGCTTTTTGGATCTTAGGAAATTTTATGTGTGTGTGACTCCCCACCCTACCCATATGTTGTACTGTATTGTGCTTTCAGCAGCAAAGCCTTGGACACTGATTGGCTATGGTGGTGTGAACATTGCAACTGGTCTGAGAGCAATGCTGTTAAATTTGCATAGAAGACAGAGGCAAGAAAGAAAGGGAAGGAGAGAAACAACATAATATTAGAAGCTGTGCGTTCGAAGAGACTTCTAGGAAGTATTGGGAAGAGGCAGAGTAGCTCAAGAAAGGGAGACAAAATACACAATGGGCTAAAAGAAGGAATCTGGGGAAAGTCTGGGTACTAGACAAATGGAGCTGAAAAAATAGAGGCACTGGGCAGAGGCCAAATTTCACATTGGGCCTAGTAGCAGGCTGAACACTATTTGCACAACATGGGCAAACTGAGAAGGCTGGAAGGCTAAGGGCTGAGAGACAAGGAGGCAATGGGTCATGAGGCCGTTTGAACTAGAATTTAGACAAATATTCCCTTCCTTTGCCTCAAAAGGGCAAGTTTTGTCAGTTACGGCTACCACTGTTGCTGTACCATTGTGACCTGATAACCCTAAGAAGGCATAAAGGAGCTGAATTTGACATACTGATTTGAAATTAACAATTCCTTTACTACCGGCGTCATGCACATGTATGTAAGCAGAACTAAAAACCTTCACAATTATGTACTTATGCAAATTAAAACAAATTGCAATCTTTCTTTTTCAGGAACTGTTTTCAGTAGCGGCCAGTGTGGTGGGGCAGAGCTGTACTATAGTTTACCTGGATGGTGAGGTGAAAAGCAGATTGGCAGTGAAGCACAGACACACTGGTGGAGCCAATACAGCATTCACATCAGTGTGTCTGCACAACTTGACCTCACTTGAAGTATAAATGAATCCTACACATGTCTGCTCAAAAGCCAGTCCATTGAGTTCAACATCACTTAAGCCCAAGAAACTGAATGTAGGATTGCAGTCTAAGAGAGTGGTTTTCAATACCAATAACAACAAAAAGACTCATTGAAAGAGATGGCATTGTGCAGAATTGGGGAGGGGGGAAATACAGAACAGGACTACTGTTTACCCTGGCTGAAAACCTTTTCTTTTCTCAATCTTCCTCAGCCTGTACTTTCCTTGTTCGGAACAAATGGGGTAGGTGGCCTGAGGTTATGTCTAGTATAGTCTGCAAATTCTTTTAAAATGAAGGCAGGAAATCTCAAGACAGGCGGATTTTGCCTGAACTCAGATTTCACTCAGCATGGTCCAGAACTCATAAGGCTCTATAACAGAAAAGTTGTCTTAAGCGGAATCCTAGAACTTGCTGCACCAGCAAATAAGTGTTAGGAAGAAGCATACAGAGTGCTGCGTCAAAAGCATTAGGTTACTCCAACACTGCAGGGATGTTAACTCTGGTGTTTTAAGGTAATATGTCAGCACAAATTTTTAGGAGAGGAATGAGAGATTTGCCATTTCTCTTAGTTTCCAACTTAATATTTAAAAAAATTTAAAAATGTGAGATGTTCACTTTTGGAAAACCACACTATTGATGCATTTTAGAGGCGACAGCAGGCTTAGAATATGTTTTCTATACATCCATCACATATGCATCAGGTTGGGCAATTAGATATATTTAAGCATATGGTACCCTAATTCAGTCCAGCAGGGAAATAGATTTTGTTAATCTTATTAAGTTTGAGCCATGCTGCTGCTGTTATTTGTATGAGGGTCTTTCTGGCCTTATTTTCCAACCCCATGGGCATAATATACACGTGGTGTCACCATTTAAACAAATGTATGATAAGAGATTAAAGAACAGACCACCAACTTTTTGGGGCTCATGAGCTGATTAGCAAACGGAACAAAGTGTTGTGGGCCTCTCTCTCTCCCCTCCCTGCAGCCTATTCTACGGGTTACAATAGAATGCTTCCTTCAAGTCTACTTTAATTGAAGGAGAGGTGGCCCCACGGCGTGCACCAGGGAAGGCTTCTGTGGGCACATATGCAACCCTGGGCACCTTGCTGGCAACCCCCGAATAGTTCTCCCAGCAGTAAATATTGTTTTATTAACGATGTGCTATCCTGTGACAATGTTTTCCTCGTTCTTGCTGACTAATTTCCTTAAATTTTAAGGCTTAAACCAGTGGTTTTCAACAATTGTGCCGCAGCATCCTGGGGTGCTTTGAATGATGGTCAGGGTGCCATGGGCAACACTGGCCTCTGTCCCTCTTTCCTTCCCTCCCTCCTCTGAGGCCCTCTCCCGTCTCTGTCTCCCAAAGGTTTGTACAGCTGTTTGTTGAAGGCAAGGGGTGACATAACTGGGCTCCTGAGCCCCACAGGGGTACCATGGAAAGAATGTACCGTAGTTGGTCAAGGGAGCCGTGGACCCAAAAAGGTTTAAAATCTCTGGCTGAAACTAATGGGAAGCTTTGTCTAGCATTCGTTTCATACAAAGGAAGTTTATTTAAGCATTTTGCTGTAAAATGGGAAGCTCTATTCACTATTTACTCCAGTAACAAATAAAGAATAGAACCTCATCACTCAGAAGGGGGAGGCTAAGTACTCTTCCACCACTGGGTGATAGAAGCAACAAGCATTTCCCCATCCTACCAAGAAGTAGAAGAGAATATTGTAGTTCCTGCCCAGCTGGCTCAACATTAAGCTATTGAAACACTAAGCTATTGCCCACACTAGCCTTCCCCAAACAGGTGCCCTCCACATGTTTTGGACTACAGTTCCCATCAGCGCCAGCCATCATGGTTTGATGATGGGAGCTATAGTCCAAAACATCTAGAGGGTACCAGTTTGGGGAAAGCTGGTTTACACTGACGATAAATAGCTCTTTTTCGTTCAGAAATAAGACTTTCCCAGTCTTATGCCTCAATTGTAGGGGGTTGAACTAGATGACTCTCAGGATCCCTTCAAACTCTTTAAATCTATGATTCTATCTGGAAATATCAGGGATAAACCTGAGCCCTTCTGCATGCAAAGCAAATGCTGTACCACTGAGCTATGGCTCTTCCTCAAGGCCAAGTGGGAACTCTGTATTAAAACCAGCTCTGGCATTAGACCTATCGAGATGAGAAGCTCCTAGTCCTCAAAACCATTAAACTTTTGTTTTAAATCGCAAAATCGACAATCTGAAACACTAGCTTTTTATGCTTCCAACCCATAAATTCAGCTGGGAAGAAAATACATCACAGGCAATTTGCAAAATCTGAATGACAGGAAAGGGATGAACCTTCTCAGATGGGTCCAAGTAGAAGAATGGTGTTTTTTACAGGATGGCCACAGTGTTCAGTTCCTGCTACAAAAAAATGACAACACAGTATTGCAACCAAAACAGGAAACGGTATAAGGACTTATTGTAATCCATAAACAAGTAGTAAAAAGAAATCTGAAAACAGAACTGAAAATCCAATATGTTTGATAGCTTTTACATATGTTTAAAATTACTGTATGTATACTGCAAAGCATTATCTTCAGCATTCCACAGTGATCACTGCAGTATTCAACAACAATGGCAGAGACTTTTACCTAGGCTGAAACAAACGCCTTCTGTTACCCTAGTAGAATTTTACTTTTTAAAAACAGCATCTTTGCCTTGTCACAATGTTTCAGAATTATTGTTGTCAGTCTGCAATGTAGCATACAGCTGGGGAACTGCTGTTTCACAAAATAAGGCAAAGGTGCAATCCTATGCGTACTTACCAAGGAGAGGTAAGCCTTCCTTTTCAGTAGGCATTCATAGAATTCAGCTGTAAAACCCTTTGAAATCATCAAACATCTTTTCACAGTTCATTGGATCATGGCCATTGATCCAGAAGTAGGAATGAACATGGACTTATTTCCCCCTCACAATTTGCTGTGCAATGGAATCAGTCTGGAAGATTTACAAGGGAAGACATAATATCCAGGAGTAAGCTCCACTGAATTCAATAGGATTTATTTCTTGCAACAGAATGTACTGCAAGGGTGCTGCCTCTTCTTTTCGCATTAAGTATATATGACCACAGCTTTAGCAGAACAAGGGGTTAATACAAGCACCTGTGTAATTCAGAAAGCTGGGGTTATAGAGTCATCTCACCAGTTTGCTGACTGATCAACTCCTACGCTGAAAAATGCTGCAGCTTTCCCGCAAGCTACTGGGCAGGACTTTACTAACCTCTGAACTGTCCTTCCAGTTGCCCTGAACTAAGCCTGCTGCTCTAATGCCTTTTCCACTAATACCACTTTGAGCACAAAGGTGCAGCCAGGACAGGTCTGAAAACAAATCTGATTTCTCCCACTCCCTTCCTCCTATGCTTCATTTCATTCAGACTCTTTGGATTAGGCTAACAAGAAGGGTTCAGAAAGCTGGAGCAACTCTATAGTCTCCCTGCAGGAAGCCAACATAATTCACTTAACTTCACTTACATGGAGGCCTGTGAGTTTATATCAAACATTTCTATGTGAATGGGAAAACTACAATTCAGGGAGTGCCCCCACAGCTGGCTTCCAGCTGTCAGCCAACCAGATTTCAAACACAATTGCAATTTCCCTCACCCTTACACAGTGCTCAGCAAAAAACCTCTTTGCAAAAGACAAATACTTAGGCTGCCAGCTCTTCCAACATTAAAGCTCCCCCTGCCTTTCTTTCCTTTCTTTAAATCCATAACCACCCGCTTTAAAGCGTTAAATCAATATCCCTTCTTTCTATCTGTATTCAAAGGGGAATTATTCACATTGGGCGCTTTAAAAATTAAGCTAAGCTTCCAGGGCCATGCCAAACTTAAATGACAACAACCTTTAAAATTGGATCAGGGACACAGCAGAGCCCTGCCTGATCCCTGGCCGCAGGGGCCGAGGTGGTTTTACTATCAGGAACAAAAATGAACATGGTTGTTCTATAGGCAAAGTGACTATATAAGGTGGTCAGTTTAGATTGTCCTGTCTTTTTTCTGTTACTAAATTGCAGAAAATATTATTATTGTTAGGGCCTTTGCAGATTACGTGAAAAATCTACATCTTTATCAAGCTCTATTTATTTCTTATTTCTTATTTATTACATTTATATACCACCTTTATCTTCCAAGGAGCTCAAGGTGGCTTATGTGGTTTTCCTCCCCATTTCACCCTTACAACAACCCTTTGAGGTAGGGGAGGCTAAGAGATTATGACTGGCCCAAGGACAGTTTCAAGGCTGAGTGGGGATTTAAACCCTGCTCCTCCTGGTCCAAACCCACTAAACAGATGGTTGGCAATGCGAGTACTGAATGGCTGCTGAGCAAGTTGGTGATCATGTCTTCCGTGGAAGCACATACCTCGGTCTCCATGTACTGCAATGTAGAGAACATTTCCCAGGCTGGATTAATGTACACTTGATGCAGAAGCAGAAGCAGTTCCGATTGCTGCAGAATGGCTTCTGCCAGCAGTGAGGCCTTGTCAGCACATGATACTTCCACTCAGAGCTCTGCACTGGCTGCCAATTTGCTGCCTGGCCAAGTTCAAGGAGTTACTGTTAGTATATATAAAGCCCTTAGGGATCACCTTATCCCATTTTTGCCCATTCAATCACTTAAATCTGCAGAACTGGCACTGGTGGAGGTGCCACATAATACTTGTCCTGCAGTTTTAAGAAATCAGTCTTTGAGCAGCACCTAAACTTTGGAACTCCCTGGCTATTGACATCAGGCAGGCCTGTTCACTGTACTCTTTCTAGCACCTACTGTACTAAAATATTTTTGTTTAGGCAAGCCTATTCAGACATAAGAAGTTACATGTGTTTTAATCTGTTTGTTGTTGATTTATTTATTTTTTAAATACCTGCCTTTTATTGTCTTTTATTGATTTTTTTATTTTATTTTTGTCAGCTTCTTTGAGGTTTTATTACAAATCTACACATTATTATAATTTACTGAAAACATATCTAATAACTGAGCTCAACTATAAGGAGGTACTTTTACACGTAGTGTCACCATCTGTGGGAGTTGGATATCGTAAGTTTGCTAGCTTACCCTGTACTTTTCCATTTTTATACTGTAAGTTTAACAGAATTTCAAAATTAAAAATGTAAAATAATATGCTTTTAGGGGCCCTGGAAATCTCAAAAAACCTTCAGTTGTGCAAAGTATCACGCTCCCACTTAAGCCAATAGGCTTGCTCAGTACCAGACTATGAACACCTTTCTCTGATTAAATATTAAGAAGTCACCCTGGTTTTCTAAGTTTTATTAAGGTGTCCAGCCAACGGTATTTTTATCTTCTTTTGGGACCTACCCTGCACCCTCCACTTCACAAACACCTGGTCAAAATGGGCTTCTAGCTGTTATTTACTTTGATGCAAAGTCACCAGAACATAAAGCTCCAGGTATAAAATGAGAGTGGAAAGTAAACAGTCAAATGCCACAAAAAACTACTTTTTAGCATTATTTTAAAATAATCAAATTTTTAAAGTTGCAGCAAGAAAAGCCAAAAGTACAGTGGTACCTCAGGTTAAGTACTTAATTCGTTCCGGAGGTCTGTTCTTAACCTGAAACTGTTCTTAACCTGAAGCACCATTTTAGCTAATGGGGCTTCCTGCTGCCGCTGGGCCGCCAGAGCACGATTTCTGTTCTCATCCTGAAGCAAAGTTCTTAACCCGAGGTAATATTTCTGGGTTAGCAGAGTCTGTAACCTGAAGCGTATGTAACCTGAAGCGTATGTAACCCGAGGTACCACTGTATTTGTCTTGGACTGAAAGCAGCTCTTCAAGGTTTCAACCAGGAGTCATTCTCAGCCCTATCTAATGAAATCAGGGATTGAACATGGAAACCTGCAAGAAAAACTGAGCTACAGCCCTCCCTTCAGCTGCCCCTGCTGAGCTATTACAGAGCCACATTTTGCAATAACTGCAAACTGCAGAGGCAGAGCCACATACCCTATGTGCATTATACAAACTATCCATATGTTTCATTCTTTTAAGGGGTTCTTGGATTGCATGAGCTCCAACTCTATTATCATTTTCTCACCTCATAACTTTCAAAGCAATTTTTCCAGCAGGATTTGTAACCCAAACCTAATTATTCTTAAAGGCCATGCTGTGCAAAGCATAATAAAGAATAGGACAGGTGAAACTACAAAATGCCAAAGGAAATGGAACAAAGCTACATCTTGAAATCCTATCTGCTCATTGTACTAATGGAGATAAGAAGCGTATTTCCAACATTCAACAGCAGGGAATTCACACGCCAGGGGAATAGAGAAAGTCTCTGAAATATCATTGGCAAGTTAAGAAAACTTTAAGTCTTGTGTTTTCAGCCAAGTATCACTCAGCAGCCATTAAACATATTTTTTACCCATTAGCGGAACATTAGAAATTCCATGAATTTGAAGTTTATTATTTCCATGGTTCAGTTTATACTTTTTATGGGATTTATATCTTTTGGCTGAACTTCCCCAGGCATAAATAAAATCATTTACTATGCTGGCTAGTGCACAGGAACATATGACTGGCACTTTTATGCATGTTGGCTTAAGAAGGAGGATTAAAGGAAGGGCCAGACACATCTGATATTTGCTTTTAAAAGCATTTAATAAACCTGTGGTTAGCTTTTCAGACAAAAAACTGGGCAAACACATGGATCCTTGCACCTTCTCAAGGCCAATTCAGATGTAACTAATTCCTGCATGCCACACATTTTCCATGTAGGAACCAATATGCAACACATGTGTCATTACTGCATACACCCATGTAGTTAAGTTGCACGTTTACATGCTGTAGTGTCAATAATTGTTCATGAAAATGAACCTCTTCAGTGGACTGGTCTAGGCTCCAGATTGATAGTGGGGTGCAGAGGTGCCAACTTGAATAAAATATTGGGGGCCCCAGGTAAGCCCTGCCCCACATAATTGATCACATGACACAGTGCACACACACCATTTGAATGGCAATGCGCATCAACTTTGTGGGAGCTCGGCCCCAAATATTTGATGGGGGGGGCTGAAGCCACCTTGGCCCCTAGGAGTTGGCTCCTATGGTGGGGTGCATTACTGAAGTCTTGGCT